CTCAGTGTGAATCAGAGTTCAATGTATGCATGCTCACCTTTGTAGTATATTTCACATCCCCAGGAAACGCGCAAACATCGTACGCGTCGACCCCCTGCTGTGCTGCCTTCTGCATGCGGCGGCACCCTCTCGATCTGCCGTCCCCCTGGCGCTCGTCACGCCCACAATGCCGGATGCCCTGACCGACTGCACTACTTAGTAAGATGGCAACACGGCGAATACACTTGTGCTCACTCGCCAACCTTGGTCTTCGTCTATCACTTGCTTTCTGCCGTCTGCTGAATCGAGAGAACTGCGCTTTCGGTGTGGCCTGCAGCGTCTTGTCTCGTGCTACACGGTTCCAGGCTGGCATCTTGGTCTTGGCCTCGCTCGACATGCACTGCCAACTCACCCTGCCGTCTTGGACACTGCTGCGAGTTGACTGGTCGTGCTCGGCGCCGCTAGTGAGCTCGTTCTGGGATGGCTGCCTTTGATGCTGACGGGCAGAGCGTCGAGTGGTGGTGGTGTTGCGCAGGTGGCGGGTGGCGGGGATACAGAATCGGAATGAGGCTGAGCGGCTGGCAGCGGCAGCATAGTGGCAAGCAATCAGAGCGTAGAAGAGGTGGGTAATGTTGACGGAAGATGACGCAGACAGATGGGAGTGCCGGCGAGGGGAGTCAGCAAGTAGGGGGAAAGGGGCCTAGTGGGGAGTAAGAAGAGAAGACGGTGGGGCGGACGCCGGCCGGGATTTATCGTCGAGGTAGTGCCTTTCCCGATTCATCGCTGCAGCAGCTTACCACGTAATGCCAGCTCATAAATCAATCTCAGGGTGAGGCCAGCCGTTGAGCCTCAATTAGGCAGCTCAGGGTAGTCCAGCCGCCCGCGGACTTGACGCACGGCCTGATCTCACAGACGATACCGAAAAGCAGCCGGTGGCCGACCCCGTACTATCTGGTCAGTACTTTTGAACCCGCCTGTACACGGTTTTCAGAGCAGACAGTGTAACGAGCGAAAGGATGCTCGCGCGGAGGCCCGAATCCGAGTAAACATGCCCAATTTGGCAGGCAGCGTTGTTTGTAGCGCCCGCGCGTAAAGGTTCGGCGCGGCGGACCTTCTCTCTCCTCCGCAACTACTGCGCCCGCCTCGCCGCCTCCCTGGCTTCCTCTCCGCTCGCTCGTCGATTAGTAGATACCAGACATTACTAGTGGATAGACTAATCTAGCACGAATCTGTCAACCTCCCGGACCCTGCCATGCCGCACACGCTGCACCCAAACTAAGCCCTCTTCCTCTCGCTGTCCGATGCAGGCCCGATCGCGCTAGAGAGCTCACCGTCGGGAGTCGTCTAATCGAACTCGGTGATTGGGTCGTCCAGGTCGTAGTCGTCCACCGGCTGCTCCTCTGATGCTCGCCCGGCGCCGCTACTGCTTGCCCCACTCGTCCCTGGCAGCACGTACCCCCTGCTCTTGATGCCCTCCCGCCGCCGCCGCTTCCGCACTCGCGTCGATGAGTCTGATGCTCGTGCCCGCCGCTTCTTCGTATCCAATCGCTGTTGCCGACGCTCCTTGGGCTCGGGCACCGTCGACGTCGCCTGGCGGCCGGTGTACTCCATGTTGTCGGGGCGGTAGGTGTCGACGTGGACCGTAGTAGCGCCTCTCCTGCGACTGGCCGCCTGCGCCTTGAGCTCCGGCAAGTGCTGGGGTGTGGGATGGACGCTCTCGGGATCGCGTGCGGCGTTCGCCTGGTCCTCGCGCGACGCTGGCTCGAAGTGCAGCTTCTCGGGGTGTCCATCGGGCAGGCACCACCGCCGACGGAGCTCATAGAGCATCACGGCACCGCCGCGGACGTTGCTGAGATCTGTGAATGGTACGTCCGCCGGCCATCCGACGATCTTGTGGCCGCCCTTGATGACGATGTCGGAGGCATAGTAGGCTGGAGCATACCGCATCCGCGTCTGTGCCCCGTGCGAGAGACGGTCTGGTGACAGTGTAAGTACACAAACCTTCGAGCGTTGGACACCATTACTCACCGATGCCATTGTCCAGACACGCACGCATGTCGTCCTTGACGTTGTCCCATGCCGATACAGGTCGTCTGCCATGTGCCTGCACGTGGGGCACAAATGGGTCGCGCTTGCGCTCCGGGTGCATATCGCGGCAAGGGTAGTAGAAGGGCGAGGTGCAAGAGGGAGAAGACGTGCATCCGGGCGCGCACAGGAGATACTTGAGTGCACAGCAAGGAGTAGACGAGTTCTAGGCGCGCTTGCGTCGATCTCAGCTGAGGTTGTCGCCCCGCAGGCCGCGCACACGGCCACTAGCCTCGGAAGTGGTACGCGCACTTCGCAGACTCGCCTGACCCTGATTTACTCGCATTTGACAGGGTCAATGAACGATTCAATCTCGCCTGCCGCATCAAGTGTCTCCTTTGCAACGGCACCAGATATTTCCGCCGGAGATGTGTACATGGAACAAGATATATATTATGGTGAGTGTCTCGAACCCTCAGCGTGTACTGCTTGTGCATCAAGCACTCTAACGGTCCTGTACTGCGAGCTACATGGGCCAGATTGACGGGCTGACAGTGTCCTCAACATCTGCCCCGCTCTCACACGCATTTAATAAAAATAAGCAGTCTGATCAGTCGCCAAAGTCAAGCGGTGGCAGCAGACGAAGAGACGGAGCACCGCGGGATGCTGCAGTGCAACTTGGCCCGATTCCAAGAGCTTGATTAGAGTTTGAGAGTCGAGACCTTTCGATGAGCCGGCTGCTTAGAAGCTTGCGGTGCGACAAGTGCACCCACCAGATGGCAGTAGAAGCGTCGTTTAGCAAGGCAAAGATCATGCTAATGTTGTGCATCAGTGTCCGAGTCCAGACAATCATCAGGAAAAACCCCCCTGGCAGATTAGCACTCAAGATGCTTATTTGGAATAATCAGCCGGAAGCCTGGCACATTAGTGATAATTTTCGAGTAATTCTGTATTAACGAGCTAATGATTCCTACTGGTGACACAAGTACTGACAGCTTAAAGATTACGGTGCAGACATATGGCAAAGACGGAAGCCCAGGTGAGAGAGAGCACTTTTGCACCAATCGTTGTCCGAGAGCGATCTCGAGGAATGCGCGTCGAATGCGCGCTTCAGAAGACCGACTAAATCCCGGGCGATCCGGATGTCCGGATGTCGGTAATAGCTAGTATCCGGGGCGCTTAACTATTTGACGCTGTTGGTGATGCACCTTGGGGAGCCACGTCACCGCATGTTTCTCCCTCCTCCCTCCAAGTCCACCACCAAGCCCACCCTGCTATGGTGTTCTCGAGCTGCTCTTCCACTGCCCTACTGCTTCCAGACACCAACACGACATTTCCTTCGCTTGTATGTTCCTCTTGCGGCTCTTGTCCTGGGTTACAAGCTGTCCGAGGTATCAAGCCTCTCCTTGGCGTGCTCAAGCTTCGCCCGCTGTCCGTGCCTCCTCGTCTACAGGTCCCCAGCATGGGCTCGCGTTCTCACACTCGGGGGAAATCAGCTAAGTCCCCTACTCTAGTGGCCGACTTGGTCCCCTCTACCTCGCACTCATTAACGCACACCCGCCGTCGCTTCTCGCCCTCTCAGCTGCGTGCTAATACGGTCGTGCTGTGTGAGCCGTCATCGTATACTGCGGACCTCCGAGAAGATCAAGAGAGCGGTGCTGTCGGTGAGACCCACTTCTCTCCTCCACTATGAGCCCGTTGGCTGACAACTTGTGCTATATACAGCTCATGTCTGCTGTGGTTTACCTCTGGTCTCAATGTCTGTGTGAACCCGCCATCGCACTCGCTGCTCCCGTGTCATCTCTTACCACCTAGTGTCCTGCTTGTGCACTTCGACCGGCCCCAATCTACTCGTTCTGTTCGGCGTCATTATCTGTCCTTATCCCGGCTCACTAGTACGTCCTGTCTGCTCAATCCTGGCTGCATACATTCTCGTCCTCGTTGCTCCATCTCTGTCTTCACATCTCTGTCTCGCTGTAGCACTCTCAACTTCTCCTTTCACTCGCTGTTGCTTGTGTCTGTCCCTGTGCGAGCACCTCGACTTCGCTGTCCCTTGGTCTGTCATGCCAAGCTTTGGTATTTGTCGTCAGTCTGTGTCTACGTTGTGGTCTAGACATGATGTTATAGTGCATGTATATATGATATTTGTATACTTTGTACGCTATATCACGATGTGGTCAATAGATCTACTTCACACCCTCATTATTGTGTGCTGTTAGTAGTGGGATATATGAAGCTTACAGCGTGCTCAATAGCGCATTTTGAGTGCAAATTAGTGCTAGTAAAATCTTTATTATGTGGGGACCTATCTAATTAGCACTCTGCAGCTAAAGTGGCTAATACATGGTCTTTAAGCTCTCATTTGCGCTCGTTTGTGCTCATTTGCCCGGGGGGTTTTTCCTGATGATGGTGCTATGCACCTGCACATGTCCTCTCATTGTGGATAGCAGACCCAGCGAGCAGCACACAGGTCTATTCATTCATCCAAAGACCCCACAGTTATGCACGCATGTGTTCGAAGGCTGCTTCAATCCTCTTGCCTAGTGCCTGGTACAGTGTGCACGAGGCGGCAGGACACAATAGCATGCAGAGCCGATGATGTCGCAGCTCAGCGCTCAGGGTTGATACCGCCAAATGACAGCGCTCCGTGTGCGCTATCCATCCGGAGCTTGGCTGTTTAGTACAGGAATTGGCGGGTACTGTGCGGCACACACAGCCGCAGTGTTTCGGACTTACTACCGACAGGGCACACGGAAGTTCGCCCCGAGGGCCGTGCTTCTGCTCGCCGTAATTTTGCGGCTATCTCTGTTCCGTCGAGTCTCGAGAATGCACCGGGGATGCGGCCGGGATTGGTGTCCGGAAGAGTACGAGCAGACAGTGCCAGAGGAGGCGGAGAAGTCTGCATGCCCATAGCATCTTCAGAACGGCGTGCTCGTGGCGGTGGATACACTTACAAAATCGCTGCACTAGAGACCATTACCTGCGGGAGAGACACACTACGGCGACGAAGCCCGCTCGACAAAGCGAAGGGAGAGGAAGCGGGCGGGTGAGGGAACAGTGCGGTCCGAGGCCGCGGCGCGGACCCAGTCTTCGCATATTCGTAGCCAAGCCCCACGAGTCGGCCGAGGTCCGTGCGACACGCGGCGAACGGCCTCTGCAATTCGTATTTGTACCCGTGCGCGCGGGGATGGGGCGGACACCTTGCCTTCATCTTCCCTCGCCGTTGTCTCCACCCGATGCTCGATTCGCCCAGCACCCTCGCGTACATGGTCGCCAACACCCTCCGCCCCCTCGGCTGTCTCGACGCATCGCCGCACACGCACTGAGGCCGCAGGTCAGTCGTTCTTATTCAGGTGTTTGCCCTCCCGCACCCTCTCACCTCGTTCATCAGCTGGAAGACGGCCTGAGTCAGCGCGAACACCCTGCAAGATGAACGGTACGCACGTCCTGCACGGTCTAGAACAGAGCCTGCCGCTCACACGTCCGCCCTCTCCTTTCCGCGCGTCCAGATACGCACACACACGCGCCCACGTCCGTATGCGTGCGCATGTGCGCGAGCTTGCGATAACGGACACAGCGAGGTGAGTGAGACCGCTTTGCCGTGCCTTGGACCGCGCGCCGGGCGAGGGAAATCGCGACGACGCACTTGAAGACGTGCTCGTCCTCGTTCTGACGCAGTTCCGGGGGCCTCTCCCAGGTCCGCCTTCCGCCTTCCGCAGTCTCCCGCTCCTTTCACCGCCTGCAATACAGCTCAGTTTAGCACGACACCGCCACGATACGGGATGTACGTACTGCTTACACGCTTCCAGGAATGCGCCGGCCGCTGATGCGAACGCCTCTGTTCCGTGCAGGACGCTCCGAACGTCGGGGATCGCGTGCGCGTGCACGATGCACCTCTGCCGATGCGCCAGATGTCGCCCGCAACGAGGTGAGCCGTATCTTCTGGTCCGCGCAGGACATACGAGCTCACTTGGCCGCTAGATCCGGGCGCGGCACGGCCCCGACGCGGCGTAAGCGTGTAGGACGCGGGAGACAAGCGAGCAGGGGTGGGAGGGAAGTAGCCGTAGCCGTAGCACTGTAGTAGACGGTAGGAGCGGGGTGTCGCGCCCGTCTGCGCGCAAGACGTCGACACGATGGGCGTGTGTGCGCCGAGGAGAAGAGCAGTGCGCACGAGAGAGCCGCATTGTGGGACGGCAGGCGACAAGTCGGTTGTCCATCGCAGCCTCTCACGCCGTTTGCTAGCTGCAAGACGGCTCAAGTCAGCGCGAACAAGCTGTAATGCGAACGCCAGGAACGGTACGTACCTGCCAAACTGTCCGTGATGGTTCCTACCACTGACACATCCGGCCTCTCCCATTCGCGCCGACGCCGCTAGCAGACGCGTCTACAGCCGTTAGTGTACGCGCGGGCCCGCGACGCACCTGACGCGGGATTGCGCTCGCGCTCGCGCTCGTTCCTATGCGGTTCAGGAGGTCAGTCGTCTCTAGCGTTTTGTAGTATCCCGCCTCGTTCACTGACTGCGGCAAAACCCAATTTAGTACACGCCCAATGCGGCGCGGAAAGTACGTACCTCCCACGCCCTTCAATCTCGCATTAACACGTTTAGCCCCTCTGTTCCGGACGAGCCAGACGTCATGGACCGCGTGCGCGTGCACGGCACATCTCGATCAACAGACGAGACATCTACGAAAAGAGGTAAGCGGGCTCCTCTGGTGTGTATAGACATGATGAGCTCACCTTGTAGGCTATTCGATCCAGGCACGACTCGGACACGATCCGGCGGCGGAGTTCGCGTACGGGGTACAGCGACTCGGAACAAGCGGGCGTGGGGAGGGCGGGAGATGTAGCCGTAGCCGTAGATACCGTAGCAGACGGCGTCGCGGGCGCTGTGTCCTGCGAGGCACGGGCGTCGAGGCGGGGTACGCGTGCACGCAGCGAGGTGCATGAAAGTTGCATTGCGGGGCGGGCCACGAGGTAAGTACAGGTGTCACTAGCTACAGCGCGCGCCGGCGGGCCTCTGCCGTCCGCCGCGCACACGCGACCTGGTCGTATGGGGACGTCGGTCTAACGTCCACGACGTGCCATGCGTCGGCAATGGCGATGGCGCCGCATCGAGAAGTGCGTCCGCGCGTCCGCGCGCCGTTCGCGCCGGCGGCGGAGTCGCCGTGCACCGAGTCTGTGCGCCTTCCGCGAACGGCGTGCAAGCCTCCTGCGCGCGTTCCCCGCGACACTGTGATCGCCATGCACGCCGAACGCACCCGCCCCGCCCGTCGGATGCGCCTCTGCACCCAATTCGGTCCATGTGCGCGCCGATCGCGGCATTTTCGACGCATTTTGGCGTCCATTTCGCCAGAGTTCCGCCCGCCGCGGAACGCACAGCCGTCGTGCGCGGCTCAAAATCGCGCGGAACGCGGGGCGGGGCCTCTCGAGTGCCCGTGCCAAGCTGCCCGGCGCCCGGCGGCGTCCTCGTCGCGCGACGGCCGTATCCGTGTCCCCGCGCCGCGAAAGTGCGCCGCGAACTTTCTTTCCCGGATCGCGTCGAGAGGCGGAGGGCGTGTGCCCCATGATGCACCGAGCCTGTGGTTGTGTTTTGAGACGCCTGGGGTGCGTCGCGCGCCCGCTAAGGTGACGGCATGGCGGCGGGAGCCCCGACGCGGGGGCGGCGCCTACGTCGTGCCCGCGCCCTCTAAGATGCCGTGCGCCCTCGGGGTACTCTTGGGTGTTCGTATGCGCGACGTTTGCGCCGCGCTCGTACGCCGAATTCGGCGCGGCAGGCCTTGGGGTGGGTGCTGAGGGCGCCTGAAAATGCGCCGTGGTCAGCGTGAATCGTGAGCGGCACAGCTGATAACGCACCAGATGTATGCTGTGGGTGTACGTTGCGCGACGTAAGAAGCTGGGCGGCGGGGGTGGCGCGGTACGCGAGATGACGTGCACGTAGGCGTGGTCGCCATCGATCGCCCGCCAAATGGACGAAATTCAAACCGTTCGCACGCGCTCAGAAGCAGCGGCGAACGACTGTCAGCATCTGTGGGCATGTTCTGGCCAAAATACACGTCCGTACGGCGCGGGACGGGCACGGGACGAGCGATTTAATGCATTTTGTACCTGAAAACACATGAAATCAGCCGAAATGTGCCAAATATTTTCTTCTCGGATCGCGACGAACCTCACAGGGTGTATGCTCCGGTGTTCATGGACGCTGTGTGTTGCATCCGCGAAGCGATCAGGTACGGCATTGACGCACGACGTCGACGTCATGTTTCCGTGTCTGGCCACTGCAACGGCGCGACGTGCCCCTCGCCTGCGACGTCGTGCGGCGCCCTCGTTGCCACAGACGGTTGAGGGCACTCCTGGCGCAATATGGCGTGGGCGGGGGGGCTGTCGTGAGCAATATTGGTCCGCGTATTCGCATTTCTGCGTCAGGGGGATCTGAAAATGCGCGACTGTCAGCGCAGTTCGCGCCCGGGGCGGCTGGAAACGCACATACGGCGACATCGCACGTCACTCGGCATGCATGCGAGAGTGCGCGCTCGCCTGACGAGTGCATCTGGCGGTAGGAGGGGAGGACGCCGCCGAGACTGTTGCCGGCTCGTGAGCGGCGTGGCAGGCGAAGGACGCGTACGGCGGCTTCGTGCGTGGACATACGTCGCGATCAGTGCACTAGGAAGATCCTGTCAACGTTCCAGCGCGGGGAACCGCGATGCGCGTGCGCGGCGACGTATTCTGTCGGGCGCGTTCCCGCAAACCTATATGGACGTGGTAAGCGAAGTTCGCATCGGGGCGAGCTAAGATCTCACCGAGTGCAAGCGCAGAGTGCTGTCTATGACGTGGAGTACATGCCACAGCAAACGACTGCTGCGGGGCGACGGAAGGAAGGACGGAAGGCGGTGGGGGTGTCCTGGGGCCAGCGTGCGAAGAACGCTTGCGGCGTCTTCGTGCTCGCGCAAGCAACGTATTTCATTCGAGATCGATATTTCCCCTCCGTCTGGGGAAGGGGCGTCAAAGTCTGGAGGGGGCGCAGGGTGTTCTTGGGCGAGGAAGGTGTGAAGTGAACGTCACCTGCGCACGGTCCCGATGTAGGCGTTCGCGGCGCAGATAAGCCGGCGACGAAGCGCAGAAGACGCGGCTGCAGAGAATAGAGTGGATAGAATGGCGGGGGACGGAGGGCTGGACGAGGCTGGCGCGGAATGGAGAGGAGGAGGGAGGCTGGAGGCGGAGAGCGAGGACGGACGGTAGAGGCGGAGAGCGAGGACGGACGGGCGGAATGAGCAGCGGACGCGGTGAGGCGGGCGCTTGAGAGAGCGAGGAGGTCGAGCACAGGTGGAGCATCCCGCGAGCCACGCCGTATCCTGCAGAGACAGTGACCCTCACGCGCTGCAGATGAGAGCCGGGGCAGCACAGGAGCCGAGGTGCGAGACCCCAGGACAAGACCGTCGGGAGACAAGACCGCACTTGGACGCGTCGCGAGCGTGCAGGGAGACAGTTTAGGGCGGGCCGTTTCGCGTCACAGTGCGCCATTCTATTGGGCGCCTCTTTCGGGCGAGCATCATTCCCGCTTTCTCCGTTCTCGTCTCTCTTCACACCCGCCTCTCGTCTTCACTCGCGCCCTCTGGGTTCACCTCGCCCGACGCCCAGCGCGTGCTGCACGATGCCCGGCCTCCACTACTCCAAGTTCATCCCGCCGAGCCTCGCGATGAGCGAGCTCGAATGCCAGAAGCTCGACAACGACGCTACCGACATGCTCATCGACAAATGGCTCGAGCGCCCCCACCGCCCCGACTCCTATTACGACTGGTTCCAGCGCGTCCGCGAGCGCAAGCACGCCGCCAACGAGCTCGCACGCCGCGACCAGATCCTCCTCTGGAACAAAGGCGTCTTCGTCCCTGAGAACATCTTTACCCGCACTGTCGACACCGGCCGTCTCATCCCCCTCGACCGCACCTGGGTCACCCATGTCTACCACCACCGCTCCATGAAGCGCCTCACTATGATGCCTGTTATCTTCAGCATGGTACGTCTCTGTCCGTGTGGTCGTGCGTGTACTGGCCCATGAACTCCCGCAGCTCCCAGAGCTCATGCTCCTCCGCGGCATGCACGATCGCGGCTGCGA